ACGTAGCTGTCATCCGTACGCAAGGAAGTAAGCACAAGATGCCGAACACCCTTAGCAGGATGCAGCTCACCCTTCATGCGACTCGCCAAATACCTCACGGCGCTTCGCGCTTGGTGGTGTGAGAGCCTGGTCCGGTGAGAACCCGGCGTGCTCCGTCCCGGCTTTGTAGGGATGCGAGGTCAATGGTCAAACGACTACGGCATGCACGACTATGAGTACCCCCCCCCCCCCCCCGAAGATTCCTTAATAACACCTGGTAGGTTTTTTCCCCAAAAGGAAGGGTCTCCCTCGTCGATTGTTGTGTGAACGAAATAAATCGTTTTCCAACACTGACTGCAAACTGCAGGGGCAGAGAGAGACGACCCCCACAACCTGCCACCTGTTGTGTAGCATGATTTCGAGGTCAACCACTACCACCACGTATGCATATAGATTGATAGATACGGAGTGGATCGTCACCCTTTTTCTCGTTGGTTTCACCCCATTTAGGCTGTTGGTCAGTTGACTACACCGTTCGGTAGTAACAAGCTATGACAACCATTGGGAAGAAACAAGAACAAACATACAGTAGGAGGGATACCGCGCCAAATAATCCTGAAAAAGCTATCCTCATACAACCCGCGTACCCTGTAAACGCGACAGGATTGAGAGTGCAACACGCTACACAAGAAAAAAAGCGCTTGAAACAAAAGTGCGCCGCCCAAACATGGCAACATCCATTCATCTACTGATTGACACGGTCCGAGGGCCTTTCACTCGAGATTCTCTTGTACTCGCTGGTACTGGCAACGACTTCCGTTTGCCAACCGACTGTACCAACAACACCTAAAGGCTGAGTCAATTGAAACAGGGACGATGCTAGATTTCATCAAGCACCGTACCAGCCGTAATCCACCGACGCGGGCGTTAATCTCTCACGTGCTAAACATGTACAACTTCAGTCCGCGGCTCGCGTCTGCGCGGCTCGAAATCATCAACACCGTCAACATACGTGTTACAATCGTGTTGTGTTGTGTGGACAGACAAGCCTGCCTCCGGCGTTCTATCCCCCAGACAATAAAACAAACTGTTTCACTATCCAAAATGCATATTCATAAACCAATCAAAGCGACGTAGCTCCTCACACCGACAGAAAATGTCTACTGACACACACTCCGCTTCCGACAAATCATACTCACCGCAGCACACGTCAGCACCAGGACGGCGGCGTCGGAACTGCCAGCAGGGCGAGCACGTTCAACTACTCGTCTTCGTGCTCCTCCTCTTCCTGCCTTCAAAATAAAAATCGAAACACATTCGTTCACTTCAGTCACTACTGTTCGTGATAGAACCACACCCCTTGCACCCCCTGGCGCTACACATCTCCTGCTCTTTCCTGACACGCTCGCTAGTACTCCCGTTTTGGGTCCTTGTTCCAGCTGCTCCCACTCGGGCCCCAGCTCCGACGCCCCGCCTCCATGGACCCACCGTCAGAAACACTCAATCCATTGTCCACGTCCCTCGTCCAGCTTGCGCCACTGCCCCCTGCTGCGCGCCTGCGCCCTCCGCTGGCCCCGACCCGTTCCTGATCGGGTCTGCGAACCGCACCCAGTCTGGACTCTCATCCGTGGACAAGGATGAGAGCGTGTCCAGAGCGTGTCCAGCGTCTCAACGCTCACCTCTCTCGATATTTGGTCGCCGCCGGTGGTAGTTTCTCCGCGGGCGCCGTTCTCGCCGTCCTGGACCGCTAGCATGCTGGCGTCTGCCGCCAGCCGGAGCCCAATCGGTTGCTCGTGTGTGCCCCGCTCTCGCGAGTGGTGTTTTTCCTCTGCCCGGCGAACCCGTGACGACGGCGGCTGCCGCGGTTCGTTCGTGGCGGAGTCAACCGCGCCGCTACTAGGTTTCGTCGGGGGGCTCGCGGGTCTGCCCTCCTCTTCCGCGATTTCAACTCGCGGGGCCGCTCAAGTTGTCGTGTCCCCGGTGGCACTAGGGATTGACACAAGAACGCGTCACCCCGCGAAGCGGATGCTCCTCTGGCTGTCTTCTTGCTTCGCTCCCGCGTCGTCTTCGCCTGCGGCTTCTGCCGGCGGAACAACCCCAGGTTTGCCGCCAATACCCACAACAAACCGCACGTGTGCTGCATCTCAGCCGCCGCCTTCGGTGCCGCCCCATCCTCTGCTTTCATGCGCGGCGTCGACGGGGCTGGACCAAGGTTCGACGTAAAACGGGCGTAGGTTGTTGGTGCTGGGGCAGTCATCTGAGCTCGCTATCTTGGAGTTAGGGTAAGGGTTAGTGTTAGCTGCTTCTCGCTGGCCCATGACGCCGACACCGAGACCGAAAAAAACAACAAGGAGGCTTCCGCTGGGCTGCTAGCGCGAGGCGTGGGACCATGTCCGGCCAATGTGCATTCTCCTGCTATTGCCGCCGCCGGTGTTGCCACGACCCTCCAGACCATGAGAACGATTGCCGCCGCATTATCCCACGGTGGTCTGCGGCCGCGCTTGCACAACCAGCACCATCGCGACCAACATCGTCAATCGCACGTGGTAAGAAAAACGGTGCGGGCCACACGGTTACGCGCTAACCGACATCATCGTCATTTTTCACCGCCTGCTCCGCCATTTCCTCGTCCCAATACGCAGTGCTTTCACCACCAACAACGGCACCGTCGGTTTCCTTTGGGACCACGCGCCGCCCTGCCACCGCTATCGTCAACGCACCCGCCTCCATCTTGGGCGCTAGGGCAAGCCCGGTATCCTCATCATTTCCCTCTTCCTCAAAACCACCCCCACGTGTGACGGGGGCGACGGCGGCCCTCTTCCCTGCGACCGACCCCTCCGGGCGAGCCTCCTGGTGCTCCCCGCTGTCGGTGCCGCCGGCCAGGAGGGTCTCGGCCGAGATTCTCGCAGCCCTGCCGATGCGCTCGCCCACGCTCCTTCTCACCGTCCCGCGACCCCGCGACTCGGAAGCGGCGGTCTTGGCGATCCTCATCGGGTATGGGGGGCTCTTGAAGGCCGTCATGAGGCCGGGGAGCGACGGGGACCGAAGCGGCGGAAGCTCGTCTCGGACAGCAGTTGCGGCGGCGGCGGCGGCGGCGGCGGTGGCGGCGGAGTTGTGCGGAGAGGACGAACGGGAATTCCTCTCCGATACGCATGATCCGGGCGTCGACAGCCTCCCCAGAGATAGCATGCCCCCCGAACGGAGGAGGCTCAGCTCCTGCTGCTCCTTCTCGGAAGCGTCCATGATGCGGCGGAATCCTTCCGTCGTCACAAAGTCGCTCTGGAAGTTGGTCTGTATGTTTTGTGTCGTGTTGCGCAAGGGGGTGGCGATTTCATATTTGCAGGCGGTGCGTAGTGGTGGGGGTGGGGGTGGTGCTGAATGACCTCGTATGAGCGGATCGTCCTTACTTTGAGCTGAACATCGCAAACATTGCGCGCCTGCGAAAGGATGTTTTATCGGCATGGTACAGATAGAGTTCCGACCAGATAAATACGGTGGGGGGATCGGGGACGGCCGAAAGAATGTGCAACCGCAGTCACGAATATACCGCCGGCAAATGTTTCACGCGACTCGATGGTAAATATCGGTCTCTTTTCAAGGGATAGTTTCTCATACGAGCCACCGGTGCGGGCAGCTGGTGGACTCTTGAACAGGAGAGAGACAGGGATAGGTAGGCATTTGAGAAATCAAGCGGCGTGAGCGTGACACAAAATCGCCGCCAAGCCGTGTGAAAAAGGCTTGGGGATTCCACATGTGATAAGCACACGTTGCTGGTTGTATGTAACCCACAAATTGCATCAACACGCTGGCCATGCAAGAGCCTTTCCTATCCTCCAAAAGCCGCCGCCAGGAGGAGGCTTGTGAACGCACGCACAAGCACCGGCGCCCACATAAGACAACAACGTGAAAGCTGCTCCTGAACATAGAAAACATGAACGTTGAAGTAGACAAGCAAGCACTATTTTCTGTTGTATTATTGCTCGTGGCCTAGGATCATTTAATCTAAGTATTGGATTTTGGATGAGGCCTCCAGCTCTGAGGCCGGCGGTCCCACGGATGCACTGCCGCGCCGACTGCAGTTGGCGCGGCAATGAATCTGTAAATGATCCTGAGGCTTTGAGCCTCAATACAACATTTGCTGCAGGGTGGGTGGGGTGGTCTCGAAATTATTTCTTTTCTTGTGTTCTCGCGTATTCACGGTAGGAAGAAAGACAATGATCGGCTGTATGCAAATTTCAACATGTTACCGGGACAGACGCCTACATCCATTTTCGTGCCGAATTTGAATTCGTTTGCAGACCCGATTTTACTGTTGTATTATTGCTCGTGGCCTAGGATCATTTAATCTAAGTATTGGATTTTGGATGAGGCCTCCAGCTCCGGCCTGTGGTCCCACCCATACTTTCCTTGTCCCGTCTTCTTCGCGACCACTGACCTGGAGCGTGGTAGAGCCCCAAACTTTCGTATATTCAGCTATGGGATTAAACCGGCGTACGGGGGGGGCATACGCTGCAAAGGCGGCT